TTCAATCGGATTGCAGCTGGGGAAGTGATCCAACGGCCTGTAGTGAAGGAGCTGGTGGAGAACGCTGATTACACTTTCATCAGTGTTGTTGTCAAGGGCAGAGCTTGGAGCTCATTAAAGTTTCAGACGACGACCACGACATCACAGTACCATCCCCTCTCTCTCTCTCTTTGAGAAAAATGTTTTCGATTCCTTTTCAATTCATTTTGGAAACTGTAATTTTTGATTTGGTTTAGAGGAATAAAGAGTTCAATTTATTTATTTATTTGATATTGACACTCATTCTGCATTTTCTTTTTTGTTAACCGGGATGGTTCAGCTGGATTTTCGGTCTGATCTACATCCATCCTAGATCCGAAAGTAGCCTTTAAAGGGGAAAATCACCCAAATAACCCACTTGGGTCGCATCTATTTCAGTGCACACCACCGAAAAAAAAAATTTTCAATTTTAACCCACTTTTCGGTTGGAAAAGTCCGAAATACCCTTTTCGTTTTATTTTTTGCGACTTTATTACTACTAACATATAACTAATATACAACTAAAATAAGACTGATGATTTTTTTTGCCACCTTTTTTAGAATCAATTGTAATTATATTTAGACTTAATTACGAAATCGTAATAACGAAGTTGTTTTCGAACGGATAAATATCGTAATTCATTAAGGGTAATTTCGTCTTTTCACAGGAAAAAAAATGTGTTATGTTTTCGGTGATGTACAGGTGAAATAGATGCGACCCAAGTGGGTTATTTGGGTAAAAAACCCCCTTTAAAGCGCACCTAACCACGCCACACCCTTCACCCTGTGGTTTGAGTATGAGACCTAGGACACGGGCCCCCACCACCTAACTGGAGCTCTTCCATCTCGGCGACGACTTCATGAAAGGGACGAAATTAAATAATGCATCTCCCTCCCCAATGCGAGGTTCGAACGCTTGACGTGAAGGCCTTTTGGGTCAATCCGTTAGCCACTCGACCATAAACGACGCTGATTCTGCATTTGTCGTTACAAATTCACAATTTTTCTGGAATTTCTTTTTTCATCGATGTTTTAGTTTTTTTAAGCTATAAAATATGATTAGAAAATGACGTAGGCATGAGGTTGCCATTTCCGGTGCTCGCAACCATATCCAAAGGGCACTTCCATCTCTCTATATGTATGCATATATATATATATATATATATATATATATATATATATATATTATGTATTTTATTCTTTTTTATGAATATATTTGTATACATTATATCTATATTTTTTACAAATTAATTCAAACTTGAAAAATATGTACATTTATCTATTTTTAAAATTAGATTATGTATGTATGTATGTATGTATATATGTATGTATGCATGTATATATATGTTGATTTATTTATTATTTTTAAGTTTGATTATTTATTTGATTCTTTTTTATTTTTTATTTTAAATTTAATTTATTTTTTAATCGTAGCTTCTTTTTCTAAAATGATATAGAGAAATGATCAATCTCTAAAGAAAAATGATAAAGTGATTAACTCATAATCAATCTCCAAAGGTGTTACTCAAAATTACCCAAAATATATTTTGAAAAATGAAATCTTATTTAGTTTCTACAACTAACACATAATTTCGATTTAAAAAAATAATAATATCGTAAAACTTTCCATATGAAACGACGAAAGGAGGAAAGAATTACTCAAAAGTAACATCTTAATACTGGAAAAAGCAATTACGTAAGCTATACAATCTATCCTATAAAGATACAAGCATATATTTATATATACACACACACTCAATGGATGTGTAATTGACTACGTATTCGATGAAGTGAAAGTGAAAGGGCACTTGGTATGGTCGTTTATGGACAATTTCGGCTGGGAAAGAGGTACTGGGTGAGGTTCGGATTTTACAACGACATGAAACGACAAATGATTCAGGGGAATAGCTACACAAATTCCTCAACACCGACACGACCATTAGCGTCTGTTACTTCGAGAGCCACAGAGCCAAAGGGTTCGCTCCCAAGTTGTTCAATCGAGAGCGTTCTCATGACTTGCGCTTGCGACCTAGCTCATCTGAGACTCAAACACGTGTTCGGTCTCTTCCTTCCTACCAGCCACCTGACCGACCGAGATCGACCGATCAAGCCATCTTTTAAAGCTCGAACTTCTATATACATGTATAGTTATTGATGATTTTGTTGTGTATGTGTAATGTATCTCGGTGTATATACTAACAATGAACCCACCAGCGAGAGGGGTAGGTATGGAGCTAATCCAGCAGGCTCTTATTACTACCGACCCACCACATCCGGATAAAGGCGAAGATATACACCTATGGAGAGACCACATGGGGAAATTTAAAACCTCATTCTCATCGTCTTCCACATGGAAACAACTAAGGATTCAGAGGCCGAAAGTTCTCTAGTATGATCTAGTTTGGTTTAAACTTGCTATACCGAGACACTCTCTTGTTCTCTGGCAGGCCATAAACCAAAGACTACCGACAAAAGGTCGGCTGATTAATTGGGGTATTCAAGTGGATTGTGTATGTATTCTCTGCAAAGAGGCTCAGGAAAGTCATTCACACTTATTTTTTGCCTGCCCTTATACTTGGACACTTTGGAACTTTTACGCATCCAGGTGTTGGACCTCGCCTCCGGAAGATCTGCAGCTTTGCATTTCCTGGTTGAATAGCCAAACAGACAGATCGTGCAACCGCTATCTAATCGTCCGTCTAATCATTCAGGTGTTAGTATACGAGATATGGAGAGAACGAAACTCGAGAATTTTTGATGGTACAAGAAGGACATTACAAGAGATACGCATGCACATTGGCAACATGATTCGTGATATCTTCCTCTCGGTTCAAAAGGGGAAGTATTAGGGGTGGCCATTTCGGTTAATAACCGAATAACCGAACGGTTGAGGAAGTTGAATAACCGTTCGGGTTCGGTTCGGTTCGGTTAATAACCGAATAACCGCGGTTAACCGAACGGTTATTAGAGTTTTTATAATATTTTAATTTTTACCCTTATTATTATTAGTGTTATTTTTTTGTAGTTCATTTGTACCTTATGTGTTTCACCTAATAAACCATAAAATTTAATATTTTTAACTTTTAATCTAATTATTGAAGTTTTTGTAGATTTTTTTGTAACTTTTTTGGAGGATTAATTATTTTATAGATTTATTTGGATAAATATTTTGAAGTTTGTATAGGATTAATATTCTTTTTTTTAAATATATCATAACCGAACCGAACCGATTTAAAACCGAACCGAATAAACCAAAAAATTTAACCGTTTGGTTATAATTTTATTATGCAAAAACCGAACCGAACCGAACCGAAACCGAACCGAATAAATCTATATAACCGTTTGGGTATGATTTTTTTATAACCGAAATAACCGAACCCGAAATAACCGAACCGAAAACCGAACCGAAACCCGAAATGGCCACCCCTAGGAAGTATGATACTGGTAACATTATGTTACAGGATTGGTATTACCTGTTGGGGAGTTGATTACTAGGTATTATTATCTGAATATTGCTGCGTAGTTAGTTTTTAATTGATCGTAGGGCAAAAAATATACAGTCTGAATACTGTTGGTCTTGGATGCAGCCATGCTGATTTTGTAAACAATATTTTTTGGTTAATATAAGAAATCACATTCATACAAAAAAAAAAAAAAAACAATGAATAAAACAATGTGACTATATGCGTTTTTAAATAGATTTTCCTATTCTTTTGTAATATCTTGAATCTTTTCATTTAAATAAGAGAAGTTAAAAAAATAATTATTTTAAATAATAATTTTATTCGAGATAAGATTTATTATTTTATAACACAAGCATATATAAACTAAAAAATATAATTACAAAGAGATTATGATAAAACTAAATAATAATATTTTAAAATAAAATGTGAAAATATAAAGTGGTTAATCCTTTTTTATATAATTTATTTTTATTTTTAGTGATAAATAAATAAAATTTAAGAATTTCAAATTTAAGTTGAATGATTCAAATAAAAAAATGTATGCACGTATGTGTCTATGTATGTATATATGTACGTAATTTGATTACTATTATTTTATTAATTTATTACTATTTTAATTTATTTTTAAAGTTATTTATTTTTGATAATAGGTAGAGTAATGAAATATATATTACATAGATATCTAAAATGAGATTAATTGATTATTTTTAATCTAAACAATTATAAATACACTGTTAAAATTTTTTATTTAATTTTATAATAATTTCTTTATTTGTTTTAAAATACCAATTTTATAATAATTCTACATTTATATGTACATACTGATCTATACTTATGAAAAAATTTAGAAAGTTCATATATTTGTGTAACATTTTAAAGTTTATGTATTTATATCGAAGTTTTATAAATTATGATCTTTTAGGTTCCTTTTTCATATTTATATGAAATATATATGATATAAAATTATATCAGTAATATATTATGTTAAAAAGTTTATGACAAATATATAAATTTAAAAATCATTAAAACAAACTAGGACTATAATATTTAATAATATCATTTTTAGTATTATCTCTTAAAACTAAATATTTTAAATACATTGAAAAAAACATAATAATAATGTATATTATATTCTTATTAAAATCATATAACTAAATATTAAAATAAAATAATTAGTAAAAAACAATAACCCCAGATGGTGTGGGTCTTCGACTAGTCTTAATAAAAAAACTTTACAACACAATTTGAACTAGCCAACCCAACACGATCCAACCTCGAAATATATAGGACCGAGCTTCAGAATTGGTTATAGAGGCCCAAAAAAATTCGAGACAACTTGAACCTAAAACCGAAACCCTCAGATTGAATGCAGGCCCAAGTCGGACGGACCCGATTCACATCTCTAATCCACCAACAATTCTCATCGACCCGAAAGCAAAGATCACGTGCAAATGGACCGAAACCATCTTTACACAAACCACAACCTCTAACCTAATGTACACAAGCAAAAAATTATAATAAAGTTTCTGAAAACTCAACTAACATTGACCTTTTTATTGTAAAATGTTTCATTCTGTCACATAATTGGGTTGATGAATCAATCATAACGCAGCCAAGTCCTGCTCCTCCAAGACCCGAAACGTGACTCACTGAGTCAGATTACAACCAAAACCAGAAATGGCTCTTCTTTAGGTGGCCACAGAGGAGAAAAACTCCATTCTTTAGCAAAGTTTGGTCACGACCCGACCTGCTGAATTGCTGAAACAACTTCACCAATTGACTTAAACTTTCTCCTTTCCTTTAGAAGCATCTTCCCGAAATCCAGAGCTCGTCTCTCGCAGTTTGCCCGTGTCTCAACGTCTTTGATTGATTCAAAATCTTCCACATGGGCTACACCCACAATTCTCCTATCATACAAACAATGAGGGTGTGAATGTTTTCCTGTTAGATTCATGATAGGGGTGAGTGCAAGTCGAGTACCCAAAATTTTCGGATTACCCAAACTTGAATTCGAATATCTCGGATCTCACAAGATATTACCCGATCACGGATCTCTTTTGGCGGATGCCTAGAAAATTTTAAGATACCCGCAGTTATTGAACCCGGGATCTTAACACTTTTTTTATTTCTTTTTATCAAAATATATATCTAGGAATTGGTTCGAATTGAGTATCCTAAATTTTTGGATTACTCGAACCTGAACCCAAATTTTCGAGATTGAAGTTCAAAACCTTGAGTTTTTATCGACCACATTTAGTCGGCCTTCCCTGTTACTCTACATGGTATTCATGGGTAATATTTGTCTCGTGTATAAGTATCCGAACCTGAACCCAATTTTCAGGTTTTTCTCATGACCAAACCCAATCTCATCTCATATAATAGTTGGATACCCGCATTTTGTATACCCAAACCATGGTCGATTCATGGAACTGCAAAAACAGGAAAGACTGGCTAAACGTGGAGCTTACCTTATCATTTTTGCAGCACCAAAACCGAGGGAGTCATGCAACAAGTTCCTCATATAGTTTTCTTGCACGATCTGTAGAACCTCGGCATTGTTATAGATGTCTCTGAGGTAGGCTTCCCCAGGTCCATCTTTGTGTTGGTTCCAAAGTGCAATAAACTTTTTGTTGAACAGATTCCAGATTTGCTCGATGGTTCTCAAGATCCACTCCTTGTACGCCTGGAGTTGCAAAGCATATGACTTAGTTGCAACCATAGAATACCCATGAAGAAATAAATGAAACTGGTAGAGAAAAAGAAGTTCAATCATAATGTTTGCAGAATCGGAGGCCTTTTACAATGCCAGGGGCAAATACTCAAGGAAAAATTAGTGTAAAATATGAATTACAGAAACGAAAACATCTTGGTGCAGCCAAGAGAGTAATCAGATATTGGAATGTGAATTCCCAGAAAATGCTTACTTTTCGATCATTCTTCTGCTCAGCATGCCCATCTTGTGCAAAGAAAGCCAATATTAAGTTGCCGAGAAAAGCTCCAATGTCGAAACCCATCGGTCCATAAAATGCAAACTCGGGATCTATCACCTGAGTTGAGTCTTGGGTAACCATGATAGAACCAGTGTGAAGGTCACCATGAATTAAAGCTTGTGCTCTTTCACAGAACCTACAGAAAGGTGATTAGGAATACTCACAGGAGAATTGGATTCAATGTTAATATAAAAGTTTCTCCGAGTAGGGAAATATACATCGATTTCAAATCAGCAACTTCAAGCTTCAGGGCACTATCTTCACGTACAGCTTTAGCATCATCATCTAGGTAAGGGGAAGTCCAACGATTGTATTGAGAAATTCTATACGGGTCAGAAAATACAACTTGCTCTGTCAATCGGCATAACTCCACATTGCCACAAAACTCAGTAACTGCAAAAGAAATGGACGATGTTCATACTAACAATGATTTACACTAATTTAGGCAGTTAAAAGATCAAAGTTATGTCAAAATTGCAAAACGTTACTTCACTTGGATAAATTGCTTTGCATTACAAAAAGAAATAAAAAGGGTTCAAGCCAGTTTGCCAATATATGACATGCACAAACCTATTATAATAAATAGGGAAAATCCCAAAAAAAACACTGAACTTTACAATTTTGACAAAAAAAACACTAAACTTTAGTTTTTGTCAAATTAACATTAAACTTTTTAAACCAGTCTAAAAAAACACTGAACTTTTTAAATGATCCAAAAAATACATAAACTTTTCTGCGATTATCAAAAAAACACTGAACTTTTTTAGTGATCCAAAAAAAATAAATGAACTTTTTCCGATTGTAAAAAAAACTAAGTAAAATAATCTGACGTGTCTGCATCTAATTGGGCCACGTCATTCATTTTGTTTATTTTGACAATCGTAGAAGAGTTAAGTGTTTATTTTGTCAAATTTAAAAAGTTTAATGTTTATTTGATAAAATAAAAAGGTCAGTGTTTTTTTTATCAAAATTGTAAAGTTCAGTGTTTTTTTTGGGATTTTCCCTAATATTTATCATTTGGCAACTATTGATAGAACATCAATCTTGAGTTTGATACTTCTTGATATGCTAAATGTTGGCTATATTGGATCAAGCTCGGTCATGTTGTTCAAGGTTGTATGGAGGAGTAAGGTCGAAGACAAAACATGGGAATTGGTTGATAGACCAATGGGGAGAAATATCAAAGGAGTGAAATCACTTAAGTGGGTATATAAAGTAAAAAAGTAAATCTGGATGGTTCTATCAAGTGTAAGGCACGTCTCGTGAGGAAAGGCTATGCACAGATCTGGGGAATTGATTAGTTAGAAACTTTCGCACCTGTTGCAAGATTGAACACCATTCGTTTCTATTTGCAGTTGCGACTCAGAAAAGTTGGAAAGTTTATCATTTGGACGCTAAATCAACTTTCATGAATGGAGAGTTGGAGGAGGAAAGTTCCTTTGATCAGCAAGATGGTTTCATCATAAGAGGAAGTGAAGACAGTTTACAGATTGAGGAAAGCTCTATATGGCCTTAAACAGGCTCCAAAAGCATGGTTCGGAAAAATTGATGGTCATTTACTGGAACTCGATTTCGAGAGAAGCCAAAATGAGTCAATTCTCTATGTAAAGAAGATTGGATCAGATGTAGTTATCATATCACTTTATGCTGATGAAATTCAGGTTACAGGCTTGAGGAAAGAAGAAATTGGAAAGCTGAAGGAGTTGATGACTGTTTTTGAGATGATAGACTTGGGAGTAATGTCATTCTTTCTTGGTATGGAGATTTGACAAGAAGTTAGTCAAACCTTCCTCTGTCAGAGAAAGTATCCATCTGAAACGTTGAAGAAATTTAAGATGGAAGACTGCAAATGTATAAGAACTCCTACGAATGTGAAGGAGAAGCTATCAAGGGATGAATCTGTTGAGGCTGTCGATGAGAAGAACTATCGGAGTATTGTAGAGTGCTTGATGTATTTGACAACATCAAGACCCGACATCCAATATGCTGTAAGTATTCTGTTAGAGTCCCACATCGGAAATATGTGGGAACAATTGAGTCAATATAATACTATGGGCACCCTCCCCCAACAAGCTAGCTTTTGGGGTGAGTTCTACCCATGAGCTTTGAGACTTTGTTGGTGGTTCTATCAAATTTGTATCAGAGCCAACCGATCCTCGGACATGCAGACGACGCAGCGGGAGAGGAGCACAAAGGGTGCGTAGCCGCCAGCGACCGAGAAGCCGCCGGCGCCGTGGTCGTTGCTGTTTAAAGGGGGCGGTATTGTTAGAGTCCCACATCGGAAATATGTGGGAACAATTGAGTCAATATAATACCATGGGCACCCTCTCCCAACAAGCTAGCTTTTGGGGTGAGTTCTACCCATGAGTTTTGAGACTTTGTTGGGCCCATTATTAATGGGTGGGTTCTATCATATTCTTTCAAGGTTTTCAACAGTCCAAGACAGAATCATCTTGGTGCAGCCAAGAGAGTAATCAGATATTTGAATGGAACACGAGGTTTTGAAATTCCATTCAAAACCAGTGATAAAGCTATTTTAGAAGGGTTTGCTGATAGTGATTATATGGGAATGGGATCAGTCAAAGATATGAAGAGTACATACGATTATTATTTCTCACTTGGCTCCGGGTGCTTCTCATGGTACTCTAAGAAGCAAGAAATCATCCCTCAACCCATTGTAGAAGTTGAGTTTGTTGCCACTACTGCCGCAGCAAATACAAGCTATTTGGTTAAGGAGGATCTTGGTCGATTTAGGGTTTGAAGTTGAAGTTCCAACTCATATTTGGGTAGACAATCATGTTGTTATTGTTATATCGAAGAATCCTGTTTCCATGGAAGAACCAAAGACTTCAAGTTGAAGTTCTTCTTCCTTAAGGAGGTACAACATGAGGAAGAGGTTAACATCATTTATTGCAGGATCGAAGATTAGCTTGATGATATATTCACCAAAGCTTATCATCTGATAAGATTTGAAATTCTGAGGAGCTTGATTGGAATGTGTTTGAGAGTGTAATCCAAGGAGGAGTCTGTTGGCTATATTAGATCAAGCTCGGTCGTGTTGTTGGAGGTTGCATGGAAGAGTAAGGTCAAAGACTGCAGAATAAGATGTTCTGTAGTAATGTCTCATGTTTATGTTTTTTAGCAGTAAGTTAGTTGTCGGTTCTTTATGATAAGGACAAGAGGTTATATGTTGTAACTAACTAATGGTTGTGATGTATTTATATGTTGTAAAACAATTAGAAATATATGCAAATATTTTATGGAATTTTGTTTGGATTGTTGATCTCTTTTTACGATTTCAAAACAGTTTTTCTTTGTGTGTGAGTTTTTTTCTCAAAAATAGAAACTATCAGTTTGTTGAGCATTTTCCTGAAAACTCACTTAAGATATAATCATATGATAAGGGAAGGTGTGAACAGTGATTCGACAATACCTGCTCTTTTGTGCTCTGTGGTATTATTATATAGCAGGGAAGTGAAAAACAGAGTCCGAGACATGTAGTCCGACATGTGCTCTGAAAGCAGCGGATACTCCACTCCGGCAATCAGTCCTTTCCTGAGGATTATGTGCGGATGGGCGAGGTATCTCATACCGATCAGAGCCATGGTCCGGTCAAAATGATATACTTCAGGAACATGGTCAGGGCATAGTTTTCCATGCACTCTTAACGCCGTTGCCTCGAAATACGCTCTTTCTTTCGTCATTGGCCAAGATTCCCCGATGCAACGGATATATGGAAGTGCCTATATGGAGATAAAGGGTCAAAAAACAATTTAAAAACCCCAATTTCTTCCAAAACGTAGAAGTTTGACAACTTCAAAACCCAAAAATCGTAAGTAATCCATCTATAAATATGCAAAAAAAAAGTGAGAATATAACAAGATCAATGCAGAAGCACATGAATTCCACAGAAACAAACAACCTCAAATGTGAAGTCATTTTATACATCAGCAAGGTGAAAAAGAAAACATCTGCACATGAAATCTGCCATTCGAAATCTTTTGCATCGAGGATTGAGAACTACATTATGTAATAATGTTCACTCATTGTATAATAGAGCACCACCACTAAACATATTCCACAAAATAAACACCAACAAAACTTCAAATTATCAATTGCATAATAACCAAATGCATGATCGAAGAAAATAATCTGCAAACGTGACAAGATTCCATCAATACTGATTTGAATCTTAAACGCCAACCATGATTCCAAACAAAATCACCAAATTTCATTGCCAAAAACCACTGACCCATCACCAAGCTCGAATACCCATCATCTAAAACCGCTAATCAACAAATAATCTACAAAGATAAACCCTAATTCTTAACCAACAATAAAATCATCGATCTACAACAAATCAGATGCTAGAACCATGACTACATCCAGAATCTGAAACCTGTTTGACGACAACAGAACCGGAGGTGCCGACGACGATGAACACGAAATTAAGGTTGCCATCTCCAACTTCCTTGATCACCAAATCCTCGTACTTGTCTCCGATAGTGGATGACAGCGAAGGCGTTGCTTTTATGTATTCTATGAGAGACTTCTCGTTCAATGGCCTGAACTCCGTAAACGCCATTTTTTTGTTCAGAGAGACTTTTCGTGGCACAATACGGGATTCTAGGAGACAATGAATGCAATATTATTCCATTTCGTGAATAACTGACGTATTATTGGTATGACTCATGCGGGAAAAAAACCTAAAAGAAAACGGCATTTCTCGCGACTTCACAAAGAAAATGGAATTTTGCATGCCTTTAGGAAAAAATAGTATAAGAGAAGCTGTCAGAATGGGTTTAAGCCCATATTCCTTAAGCTAAGCCCAATAAGAATATATTGGGTTTGGATTTTTTTTAGTTTAAGAAAAACTATAGAAAAAATTTTGACGAGTTAATTTTGTATTTATTTTAATTCGGTTAATCATTGTTTTTGTTTGTGCAAGTTGAAAGTTAACGCTCGTGGATGAATAATATCTTTGTTAATATACTAAAATAAATTCTTCGGTTTTATGATTTAAAGCCTTTTCCCCGTTATAGATTTGCATAGTACAAAGCTTCTTTGTCGTCTTTTTTTTATAGGCCAAGGTTTCCTCTTTCTTTCTTTTTTGATCCTGAAAACAGTTGGGACGACAGTTGTTGACGACGGTAGAATTCTGACAATTCCAACAATTTCAGATTAGTATCTGTAATAAAAAAATTATTTTGTCGAGGCCTATGAAACACCTCTAAAGCTCTGAGGCTATTGGAGCACGATGAACTTCTATGATACAACGTACGCGCATTCGAAAGAAACTTTTCAAATACTAAGCGAACTCAGAGAGAGATATAAACAAGTATGTGAATGCTTTTTTTCCCTCTAAAATACTTGTTTTTTTTTTCTCTTGTGTGGAATGAACTAAACCAAGACCCCTATTTATAGTAGGGAAGAATCTCAGATTTTATTTTGATATTATCTCGATTGATATTTATCATATTTGATAGATTTTCTGTAGATTTTATTCTAATTGATTTTCAAAATCAATCAAGAATATTCTCTCAATATTCTGCAGATTTTCTATTAAAGTTTCTAGAACTTTCCACAGACCGAACTTCTCACGGGCTAAGCCCGTTTTGATTCTATTAAATAAACTCAGATCCAACAATCCAACACAAGAATCAAAATAGGGCCTTGAGTTAGGTGAACCTAAATGCATCTCATGCAACTAATGCATTGTATGCAAATGATCGGAAATGTAGTTTTATCTTTGAATCTTTCGCAGTGAAATACTATCGGATGTACTTGCTAAACAGTGAACGCGCTGTCTTGAACCGTTCAACTTTTGTATACACCAAGACAACAATACTCACTTAACACCCTCTCTCTCTCTCGATAGTCCATTTGTTGCACCCATTATGGTCCTAGGACAACACTTAGTAGATTTCATCAAATACTCTAGAGAACTAACCCTTTTGCCATTTTCATAGAAGCGGCCCACTTGATGGCTCGAATTTTATCTAGATTTCATTGCAATATGCATTTGGTTTTTTGTACGGTTTTTACATATCCTTAGGCATTTTAGAGTCCATTTAGCCTTCGGAACTAGTTTATGGTTTTGGCATGTCTACGAGGAGAAATGCTGAAATTCGACGTAAGGCAGTGAAACCAGAGACTCGGATCGGATTGAATCAGCGTTGGTTTGGCCGAACCAGAGACACCCGAGGATTTGGAGACTATGCAAAGACATGTAGGCTGGAACCGCTACGTAGGAACCAAGACAGAGAGCTTAGAAAAGGAAGAAAACATCTGGACCAACCGGTCTAGAAGCAAGACCGATCGGTGTAGACAACATCGCACGCCAGACCGAAAAAATAACCGACCGGTCCAGAGAGGAAACAAGAGACCCCAAAAAATAACCTAGACCGGTCGGTCTAGGGTTCAGACGTACAGACAGACAAAATCGTGAGTTTCGCTATTTCTAAGTCATTTTGGACTTTGGGGACGAAAACACAGCCACTTTCTCTCTACTTGGAGCTTGGGATGGATGGTATGAAGGAGAATGAAGGGCATTTGTCATGGAATTGAAGATTGAAGCTCATTTTGAGCATTTCTTCTCCCTTTCTCTCTCTATGTCTCCTCTTTCCTTTCTTTGTTGTTGAACATGGTTAGTGAGTAGTGTTATTATGGGATGAGGGATTAGCCCTCATGTAAGGATGCTTGTATTCACCTTTGGACCCATGATTATATTTGTTTATGCTTTCAAACTCTTGCAATGAATAGCTTTTGTGTTCCATACTTATCTCTCTCTTCTCTCTCTTGATTGAATCTCATAGGAAACTTAGGGTTCATGATTTAGGTAAAGTCTTTGCTTGAATTTGGATGCTAGAGGTTGATGAATGGTATTTAATGCTTCTCATGTAGTGAAAACCTTGTGGGTAAATCTTAGAGTTAAGATTCGCATGGAAACATGGTGTCTTGACTCATTGGCTTATTCATTCAACGGGGTTGAGGCTGAATGCAAAGAAATTCGGTTTAACTCAACTAGGATTATGACAAGGGTGTTTAATGTATTCGGGATTTCATTTTATGCCACGAAAGTGGATAAAATGGTCTCTTGGATAGTGGGTATTCGACTCGAAAGAGTCGAACCCGACTTTAGTCTTCGAATCCCTCACTTGCATGATTGGTGACTCCCGAATCCCATAACATTCCCATTTGATTGTCTCTTCCACGCCTTTTGATTATTTTGTTTCCTTTTATTGCATTTAGTCACCCTAAAATCCAAAACCACAAAACCAATTACATCTTTATTTTTACCTTTTTCCTAGTTTCGGTTGATTCCTAGCTTAACCACATTAGTCCCTGTGATCGACCCCGATATTATGACATCCGTATACTTGCGGATATGTTGTGTTTCGAGTTATAAATTTAAGACTCGTCACGCAAGTGATCACCACTTCATACTTGATATAGGAGATTTCTCTTTGAGAGTATCTCAATATACTCAACTCTCTTGTTGGAGATAAGAGAATCTTTAAAATCATAAACTCAACCTTACCAATTTGTATCACTCTTATCATATGAATGCGAAGAGATATCAGTCTCAAGTGATTCCATCGACCTCATCCCCCCACAATTTGGTTGTGCCATTGAACCTAACATTGGTGGTTTGTCGAGATAGGTTGGGTTGACATCATGGTGGTTTGTCATTCTATAGACTTTAATCCCATTTCCCTCGATACTATTTCTATTTGATCTCTATTAAGGCTTTTGGTCAGAGGATCAGCCAAATTATCTTTTGATCTCATAAAATCAATGAATATGACTCCATCTGTCAGTAATTTTCTAACGGAGTTGTGTCATCTACGGATGTGTCGCAACTTTCCCTTACAAACATGACTTTTTGTCATTCCTATGGCAGATTGACTATCGCAATGTATGCAAATTCCAGACACTAGTTTAGGCCATATAGGAATATTCTCAAGGAAGTTTCGAAACCACTCAACTTCCTCACCAGCAAGGTCTAAAGCTATGAATTCAGATTCTATAGAGGATCTTGCAATATACGTTTGTTTAGAAGATTTCCATGAAATAACACCTCCACCAACAACGAATATATATCCACTTGTGGATTTATTCTCATTCGAATATGAGATCCAGTTCACATCAGAATATCTTTCTAATACTGTTGGATATCATGTATAGTGCAGTCCATAATTCTCAACATATCTTAGATATCTAGGGAGTCTAATTATTGCCTTCAAATGATCACAATTTGGATTGCTCGTATATCTGCTAAGTCTATTCACGGTATTACCAATATTCAACCTTGTGCTATTCATAAGATGCATTAAGCTTCCTATGATTCTGGAATATTCTAATACCGTAATGTTTTTTCAAATGAGAATTAACATCAATTGGAGTTTTGGGCTCAGAATTTCCATCTTTGTCAAATCTCTATAAGATTTGTTTTATATAGTGGCTTTGAGATAACATATAACCGTTTTATGTCTTGATAATTCTCATACCAAGTATTACATCTGTTATTCCCAAGTCTCTCATATCAAAGTTATTTGATAACATGGTTTTCTTAGCTTTAATCACCTTATTACTACTACCAGTTATGATCATATCATCCACAAAAAGATAAATAATCACAAATTATGTCTCGTTTTCTTTGACATATATGCATTTGTCAACCTCATTGACTCGAAATCCATTTGACAATATTACGCTATCAAATTTCGCATGCCATTGTTTAGGAACTTGTTTAAATCCATACAAGGATTTCACAATTTTACACACTTTTTTCTCCTATCCGTGCACTCTGCACCCTTCAGGTTGAAACATGTATACTTCTTCTTTCAGTTCACCATTTAGAAATATAGTCTTTACATCCATCTGATGTAATTCTAAATTATGTAAAGCTGCCAAGTTTATAATAAGTCTTATGGATGTTTTCCGAGGGACTGGATAGTAGACATCAAAGTAATCGACACCCTCCGTTTGCCTATAGCTTTTGACTACAAGTCTTGCATTGTATTTTTCAATAGAACCATCCGGTTTTATCTTTCTTTTGAAGACCTACTTATATATAACCCAATGGTTTGCATCCTTGTGGAAGATCCACTAGTTCCCAAGTGTGATTTTATCAAATTGACTCAATCTCACTCTTCACCGCTTCCTTCTAATAAGGAGCTTCGGGAGATGACATAACCTCTTGATATGTCTGTGATTATTTATCCAACATAAACGTTAGATAATCAAAACCAAAGGAAGTTGGTTTCTTTGTCCTTTTACTTCCTCTAGGCTCTTCATCCTCTTCCTCTAATGGCTTAGAAGATTTATGAATTTTTTGAGTTTTCATACCATTTGGATCTAATTCTATCCGAGTCTCGTAGGGAAACACATCTTTAAAGAACGAAGCCTCTCTTGATTCAACAATTGTATTCGCATGTATTTCAAAATTATATGATTTATACACCAAGAATGGCAATCACTTGAATTGTGTGCATAACCAATAAACACACAGTCTATTATTTTTTGTCCTACCTAGTTCGTTTAGGAATAGGGATAGGAACCTTAGCCAGACAACCGCATACTCTCAAGTATTTTTATTTAGGTGATTTGTCTTTCCACAACTCATAGGGTGTTTTGTCAAGCCTTTTATGGGGTATTCTGTTTAATACAACGTTAACATAAATCACTTCTTCTCCCCACAAGTTCTGAGGAGAT